GGAGGGGGAGATGGGATCTACCAGGGGAAGAGGAACGGTGTGGCAGCGGGTCAGGGGGAGGGGCAAGAAGGGGTGTGTCCAACCAATTCCTCCTACCCCTTCCACCGCCTGCCTGGGCGCCCGGAGGTCCTAGACTTCCCTGTGCCTCGCTGCTCCTCTGCTAACTTACCCATCTCTTTCCTTCCCCACTTCTCGTCCCCCCATCCTGAGACCCGACATCCGACCTTCCTGCACGAGCTCCCAACCTAGAGCTTTCTCAAGCTGACTGAGGGTCTCCACTACCCCCACCCCCACTCCTCTCTCCCCTCCCTAGAGCACCAATTTTGCGGGGGGCGGCTGGAAAAGGCCCAGGGAACGCTGACCACGCCCAACTGGCCCGAGTCTGATTACCCCCCGGGCATCAGCTGTTCCTGGCACATCATTGCGCCCCCAAACCAGGTACTGACCCCCTGCCCGGGCTGCCCTTAGGGCTCCGCAGGCATCGTCCAGGGTGCAGCTAGCAAAGATTTATTGAACATCTACTATGTCCTAAGCACTGAGCTTGCGCTGGTGGGGAGCAAAAACAGACCCAACGTGCTTGCATGCAAACAAAAAATGTAAAATTACACCTGTGCTCAGCGAGGTATTTGATGCCGATAAACTGTGGTGTGTGTGTGTGTGTGTGTGTGTGTGTGTGTGTGTGTGTGTGTGTGTGTGTTTGTGGTGGTGGTGATGGTGGAGGTGGAGGTGGAGGTGGTGGAGGAGGTGGAGAAGGAGGTGAATTCTGGGTCTGTTCCTTGAGAATGAGCCAGGACTGGACCTTGCCCACTATTGCGGGGGACACCACTGCAGGCTTCCCGTGTATGTGATCCTCCGAGCTGTGGTGTGAATGCATTAAGAGGAGGCGTGAGGGGACCGGGGAAGTGAGAAGAGGCTTCTGTAAGCATCCCCAAGGGGATAGTAGGTGGAGGAGGTGAGTCGCTGAGCAGCCTCTGCCCTCTCACTAGGTAATCTCGCTGACCTTCGGGAAGTTTGATGTGGAGCCCGACACTTACTGCCGCTATGACTCCGTCAGCGTGTTCAATGGAGCTGTGAGCGATGACGCTAAGAGGCTGGGGAAGTTCTGCGGAGACACAGCCCCGGGGTGAGGGGGCGGGACCTGGGTGGGTGGCCCGTCAAGGTGTTTCCACCTCTCCAGGTGCTGGAGTCTGACCCCATGCTGCTGTTGGGATGGGAGGGACTTAGCTGAAGAGGTAGGATCTGAATCTGTGAGCCTCAAACCAGTGGGTGGAGCAGGTAGGGTACCAGACTCGGCACCAGTCATGTGGCCCTTGTATAAAGAGGCAAGTGGGGCCTACGAAGTCCGGGAGCTAATGCAGCCAACTTGGGGTGGGGGCAGAGGTTAAAAGGCCAACGGCCTGAATATAGGCAGGGTGCAGGCCCACTTGACGCCTCCCCCAATACCCTGCCGCCGCCTGCAGTCCTATCTCCTCTGAAGGGAATGAGCTCCTCGTCCAGTTCGTCTCGGACCTCAGCGTCACTGCCGATGGATTCTCAGCCTCCTACAGGACCCTGCCGCGGGGCGCTGCCAAAGAAGGGCCGGCTCGGAGCCCAGGGGAGGACGCCCGGCCAGGTCCCCCGCTCCTTGGCCTGAGCCCCAAGTTGGGCCCCAAGCCCGGAGCCACGCCCAAAGTCATACCGGAACCCCCTCCTGCAGAGAAACCAAAAGCCTCGCCTGAGGCCCAGGCAACCCCTGTGGGCCCTGGTGAGTCTGGGAAGAGGGAGGAATGGAACTCAGACTGGGAGAACTGTATCCAAGAGTTCCTTCCTGGGCTCATTCATTCATTCATACAACACTCGCAGGTGCCACCTCTGTGCTAACAATGGCTGGTACTGGGTGCTGAGACCCAAAGCTGGATAGAACTCTGAACAAGTTCAGATCAATGAGGCTTTTATGGGGAAAGTAGTCCTTCCTACCTGCTGGGTAGGTCACACTCCACAAACAATGTCCCCTTCCCCTCCTAGATGCACCCAGTGTCAGCTGCCCAAAGCAGTGCAGGAGGACAGGCACTTTGCAGAGCAACTTCTGTACCAGCAACCTGGGTAAGAAGCCTCATGTACATGCTCTACATTTCCAGATCCTCTAACTTGCCCTCCTGTCCCCAAAGTGCCTCCTCCTCCTGGTTCCAGCCCTGTCCTGGCCTCCTGTCTCCTCACCTCTCACCTTCACTCTCCCACAGTGGTGACCGCAACAGTGAAGTCCATGGTTCGGGGCCCAGGGGAAGGCCTCACTGTCACTGTCAGTCTCATTGGTGCTTACAAAACTGGAGGCCTGGACCTGCCCTCTCCACCCACTGGCACCTCCTTGAAGTTTTATGTACCCTGCAAGCAGTGCCCCCCCATGAAGAAAGGTAATAGGGATGTGGGGTAGAGGAGAGGGGTACTTAGCTTCATGGAAATGATAGAGATGGTAGAATATAAGGGGCTCCAATGAAGTACATCTTCAAGGTATATAACATGAGCCCTCAATCTCTCTCTCCCCCTTCCAGGAGCCAGTTATCTGCTGATGGGCCAGGTGGAAGAGAACAGAGGTCCTATCCTTCCTCCAGATAGCTTCGTGGTTCTCTACCGGCCCAACCAGGACCAGATCCTCACCAACCTCAGCAAGAGAAGGTGCACCTCCCAGCCTGTTCGGGCTGCTAGGTCCCAGCCCTGAAATCCAGGCTAGCCTTGGCCCTTGGCCCTAGGGACCCATTTTTTACCCAAATAAATATTCCTTGACTGAGGAAGGGCTCACATATCCATTTCTATGGTTTTGGTGCCCACTTTGGAGATTTCTTTTCATTCATTCATTAAATTCAACAGACATTTACTACACAGAATAATCTTTTAAGAATCTAAGTTGGATCTTGTCGCTCCTTTGCTCAAAACTCCCCATATTTTCCACACGCATGCAAACACACACACACTGGTAACTATAGCGTGTCCCCCAAAAATGTATACACTTTGAATAATTATAAAGGCAGTGTTTATTAAAATACATTTCATTTTTGCTATAGCCAGTGTGGCTCAGTGGTTAAAGTGTCGGCCCAAGCACCAAAAGGTGGTGGTTTCGATTCCCAGTCAAGGGCGCACGTACCTGGGTTTCAGGTTTGCTCCCTGCCCCAGTTGGGGCTCATGCTAGAGGCAACCAGTCAATGTGTCTTGATACATCGATGTTTCTCTCTCTCCCTTTCTCTCTCCCCCTCCCTCCCTTCCACTCTCTTTGAAAGGCAGTGGAAAAAATATCCTCAGGTGAGGATTAACAACAACAAAAAATACATTTCATTTTCAAAATTGAGCTATCAACTGTTAAAGTATGTATACATTTTTTTGGGACACCTTGTATTTAGAGGTAATAGATATATTAATGAGCCTGATTATAGTAATCTTCACAATGTACACAAACCAAGTTGTAGACCTTAAATATATACAATTTTTATGTCAAAGACATTTCAAAGCTGTTAAAAAGAAATTTTAAATACTCTCCTATAGTTTTCCATCAGTCTCAGAATAAAATCCAAAATGCTACTGTGGGCTAGAAGGCTCTAGAATCTAGATTATCTGCATCCTTCACCCTCCTCCCTCCCGCGTCTCTGATTATTGTCTCCCTTAAGGTCACTATTCCAATCACACTGGCTCCTTGAACTATTTCTAGCTCACTGGCTTTGCCTGTGCTATTCCCTCTATCTGGAATTCTCTTCAATAGGTATCTCTTGGCTCCATTCCTGCCTTCAATCAGATCTCAGCTCAAATTTCATTCTAGTCATTTGTTCATTCCAAATGGCTGGCATTAGCCCTGGCCAGGTAGCTCAGTTGGTTAGAGTGTCCTCTGATATGCCAAGATTGCAGGTTCGATCCCCTGTGAGGGATATATAAGAACCAATGAATGCATAAATAAGTGGAATAAAAAATAGATGTTTCTCTCTTTCAAAAATCAATAAAAATAAATGACTAGGCACTGTTTTAGGCACCAAAGGTACAACAAAACAAAGTCCCTGCTCTTGTGGAGCAGAGATATGGTGAAATAAACATAAGGACAAGTAGCTCTATGAGTGCTATGAAGAAAACAAAAGCATGATTAAGAGAATAAAGGGGGATTCTACATTTGATAGGGTGCTCAGGGAATGCTTTCGGACAATATCGACTTTGTTTTTGCTCCACTGCTAACCAATTGTGTAGCTTGGGGTAAGACTTCACCTTGCTGAGGTTTCCTTGTCTGTAAGAGTTGAAGATTCAGAGTGATAATGTAAGTGGCAGCGTTGGTAAATCTTAATTCCCTGCGTAAAGGTGAGTGATTTCCGAGTCCCGTGTATTAAGGAATCAGGAGAGGAACCGAGGATGAGACGAGTCCAACCTCCAACTAGTACTGTAGAAAACGGCTTTGGTCGCTGCAGAGGTTTCTAGGAGAGCCTGGGATTGAAGTGGAGAAAGACAGGGCTTCTTTGTGGGATGGGATTCTAGCGATCTGGACGGTCTCAGAGTGGGGAGGAAGGAACAAAGGCCGTCCGGGTTTCCCAGGGTAACTGCAGGGCTAGAGTTCCAGACGACACCCGTAGTTTCTGTTCCTACGATCTAGTCAAGCCGGTCTTTAAGCGCACCAATCGGCGTGTACTTATGGCGGAAACGAGGCCTTCCTGGCCAATGACAGAAACCGAATGGCGGAAGTGCCAAAACGGTCTCGAGCAGATGGCAGCCTTGGCCTGGTCACAAATTGATTGGCAGGTGCTGTGACCAGAAGGTGAGCATCATAGCAAGAGCGGCGATGGGAGGCGGAAGGCCAAAGAAGCACTGGCCCGAGCTGAGGGAGGGGTCGGAGGCACAGATACACGTCTCTGCGGGGCAAGCGGCGGAAAGAGCAGCTCCGGAGAAGACCGCTGGGGCTAGCGGTTCCTGGCCCAACACGGCGGAACTCCGGAAGGGGCGGGGCCTGGTGGAGCGGAGCTTTCCGAGTTGTTGAGCTGGCCTAGAGGCCGGGCCCCTTGTTGGGAGCTGCAAGGGGCCGGATTTGCCGGGTGGGCGTGACCATTGAGGTGGGGCTTGGGGCCTAAAGGGAAGGGGCAGGGCTGGAAAGGAAGGTTTCCGAGGCTTGGGCCTGGTCTGAGGGACCCCGATGTAATCGAGTTCCGCGGTGGCGGTGACATCAGTCCAGGCCGGCCCCACGATCTCATCGTTGCCTTTCGCCCCTCGCCCCTAGCTCGACTCCAGGCCCCTGTGCCCGGAGCTCAGCCCTCGGATGTCCACCGCCCAGAGCCTGCATGCGCCGCGGGGCGCCTCAGGACCAGGAGCTTGTGGGTTCCGGGGCCCCTGGGCAGGTGTCCCGGGGCGCCCCTCCTCCCTCTGGACCTGTTGTCCCGGTCCTCGTCTTTCCCCCGGATCTAGTGTTCAGGGCGGACCAACGGAGTGGACCCAGGCAGCTGCTGACCCTCTATAACCCCACGGGAGCCGCGCTTCGCTTCCGAGGTGAAGGGATGGGCGCCTCATGCTAGGGGTCTGGGGGCTGGCGGAAGGACATTGGGGGTCTTGCGTTGGTAAGAAACTTTTAAACCTACAGAGGATTTTTGTGAGTTTATTTGAGCCAAACTGCCAACAGTTGCTGGGAAGCAAAATCTCAAGGGATTGAGATAATGCCCCAGAGAATGGCAGTTTTGCGCTTTATTTTATACATAACAATCAAAAAAGAATATGGTAGTGGGTTATATGAAATCCATTGGTGACAGATTACGGAGGTGAGAGAAAGCAAAGCAGGGAAACTTCTGGGATTGGATGAAAAGTAAAATGATAGACACGTACATCTTTTACTTAAGTGGTTACAGGATAGTTAATAGTCAACAATTAACATGATAACAGTAATTATGAGGATTTATGGTCTCCACCCTGGTGCACTGGTTTTGCCCTGAGGGATCTGGGAAAAGGGGAGTTACCCTGACTTCCCAAAGGAATGTTATCTTGGATGCAAAAGACTATAGACAGGCTTAGTTAAGGTCAAGATTGACATTTGTCAAAGAAGATTCTAGCCTAGAACTTGACTACCTGCCATAAACTGCTTTTAGTTAAAAAGTTTTCATTTCAGACCATCCTTTTTAGTTACTTTAGGTCTCTGAGTTTGCAAGGCCGCTGCACAGGCCTTCCTTGAGCTTGTCAGGTTAGCATGTGGCCCCTTTTCTTCCATAGGGGCCTGTGTGGGCTGTAGGAGTCAGATGAGTATGGACTGAAGTCCAGCCTTGGCGGACTGGAAGAGTCATGTCCAGCCCTGGGGGTAGAAGGCAAGGGAGACTCTATTGTCCCTTCATGAGAAAGGTTTGTGTAGCATCTCATAAGCAATAGTCAGTCTCTCTGTGCCTTTATCCCTCAGTTCTGTGCACAGCACCTGCCAAATACACTGTTTTTGACGCAGAAGGATATGTGAAGCCTCAGTCCTGCATTGACATGTGAGTTGGGAATGTGGGGAAGCCAGAAGTCGCTGCTACCATTCTCTGACTAACTGAGCCATGGTCTAAGGTCTCAAACCTGGTCCTCTTCAAGCCTTTTTCTCAACCTTCTGTCAGCAACCCTATGGGAAAGTTTCCTGGGAGGGTGGGGCCTGGATGCACTTGGATCATTGCCTGTCACTCACTTCTCAATGGACCTCTCTCCCATCTTGGGACCAGTGTGATTCGCCATGTGGCCCCCATTGCCAGCCACTATGATGTCCAGGACCGCTTCCGCATTGAGCTGTCTAAGGAAGGAGCTGAGGGCCAAGTGTTGGGGCGCAAGGACATCACCTCGGTTTTGAGGGCCCCAGCCTACCCCCTTGAACTTCAGGAACAGTCTGACCCAACGCCCCACTCGGGGCCTCCTTCCTGGACAGCACCACCCACGACCAGACACCTCCCTGAGAGTGAGTTGGGGAATGGGAATTTTTGAGTTCTGTAGGGAGGGAGGACCTAGCATTACCTTAGAGATGAGCTCAGTTGGAGTTGCAGAGATATTCTGGTTTAGTCTTTTGTTTTTTTGTGGAAATGTTCTTAGATGAGATTTAGGGAATAAGCAGATTTTGTTATTTCCCTGGTTTCTGGCTTCTACTTAGATGGAAAAGTTCTTCCTTAGCTTTAGCTTCAATATTCCTATCATCTGCCAGTTCGGTTCAGAAACTTGTACTGAGCAGTTATGCCACACCAAGTTGTATGCTGGGCCTGGGAAAAGGAATTCCCTGCCTGACAGACAGGTACACAGAAACCAGTAATCAGGCAGAATGAAGAGCAAAAAAAATACTGGGGGACCAGAGGAGAGAGGGTTTCTTGTGGCTGTGGGGACAGAGGCTCCAGGGAGAAGAGGACACTGGCAGTGTCCTGGAGGGCAATAAAAAGTGGATACACCTTCCATCTTCAGCCTCCTCCCAGGAGGACCTTGGGTTGGGGAGGAGTTGGGGCTAGAGCTTCTGACAAGCCTTGTTTCCCAGAATCCCAACCACAACTGGCCACCAGCTCCTTCTTCCTGTTCTTGCTGGCCGGTATAGTCTCCGTGGCCTTCCTGCTGCTCCCACTCCAGGATGAACTCGGCAGCCAGCTGCCCCAAATCCTGCATGTCTCCCTGGGACAAAAGTTGGTGGCAGCCTATGTCTTGGGTGAGCACAGTAGTGTTGAGGGGATCTGGGCCCCGGAGAAAGAGGGGTAGGGGCTGGGAAGAAGGCTCCCAGAGCTCCAGGGCTGCTCACATGACCTTGCTCTTTTCTTCTCCCCCCTCCAGGCCTCCTCACCATGGTCTTCCTCCGGACTTGAGTCCCTTGCTCAGCCTCCACCCCCCTCCCTAGGCAGGGGTGTGGACATGAGACAGCCACTGTGATGCTCATACCTTGCCTCGGCTCCTATTCCCTTCTTCTTGCCACTCCCTCCACCCTGGACAAAAACTACCCAGGGATTTGTATTCATTTTCCAAGTTGAATAAAATAAATTTGCAATATTAAACTGAGAAATGTAGGGAACATGCCCCTTTCTTCATACTTATTTTCCTCCAGTTCCTCCTACACCCATTCCCAGGGGACCCAGGCACCTGGGCCAGTGAAGAGGCCCAGCAAGAATTTAAAAGACCTGGGTTTTAGTTCTGGGGCTGCACTAAAAAAACTATGACCTTGAGCAAGTCCTTTAATTTCTCTGAGCTTCAGTTTCTACCTACTAAATGAGGGAATTGAGAAAATTGGTACTTACCCCCCAAACCCCCACCCCCGTCCCTTTGGCAACATCAGTTTGTTCTCTATTTAATGGGTTTGTTTCTGTTTTGTTTTTTCGCTTGTTTTGAGTTTTAGATTCCACATGTAAGTGAAATACATTGTCTTTGTCTGACTTATTTCACTTAGCATAATGCCCTCTGTGTCCATCCATATTGTCATAAATGGCAAGGTTTCATTGTTTTATGGCTGAATAATATTCCATTGTGTGTATGTGTCACATCTTTATCCATTTACCTATTGATGGATACCTAGGTTATTTCCATGTCTTGGCTATTGTAAAGCATGCCACAATGAACATAGAGGTACATATATCTTTTCAAAGTATTGTTTTGTTTTCTTCAGATAAATGCCCAGAAGTGGTATTGCTGGGTTATATGGGAGCTCTATTTTTAATTTTTTGAGGAATCTTCTTACTTTTCACATAGTGGCTGCACCAAATTACAATCTCTGGGAAAGTTGATACTTTAAAAAAAAAAGTATTGATTTTAGAGAGGAAGGGAGAGAGAGAAACATTGACTGGCTGCCTCCTGCATGCCCCCTACTGGGGATCAAGCCTGTAACCTGGGCATTTGTCCTGACCAGGGATGGAACCGGCGACCTCTCTGTGCATGGGACAATGCTCAACCAACTCAGCCATTCCGACCCTGGTGAAAGTTAGTTCTTAAGATCCCCTTTAGCACCCTAGCTGTTTTTGCTCAGTGGTTAGAGCATCAGCCTGAGGACTGAAGGGTCCCAGGTTCAGTTCCAGCCAAGGTCACACATACCTCCGCTTCAGGCTCAATCAGGTTTCATTGTTTTCATTGTTTCCTGCCCTGGTCGGGGCATGTATGGGAGGCAACCAATCAATGTGCCTCTCTCACATCAATGTTTCTTTCTCTCTTCTACTCTCTCTAAAAAGCAATGGAAAAAATAGCCTGGGTGAGGATTTTAAAAAGAACCCCTTTAGCCCTATAAAATAGGATCCTGGCCTGGCCCGTGTGGCCCAGTTGGTTGAGTGTCATCCTATGCACCAAGAGGTCACTGGTTCCATTCCCTGTCAGAGCACATGCCTAGGTTAGGGGCTTGACCCCCAGTAAGGGTTGTGCAGAAGGCAGCAGATCGATGTTCCTATCTCCTTTACCCTCTCTCTAAAAAAAAAAAAAAATTTAAATTTTTTTTAAAAAAGATCCTGTCCCTATGCCAATGTACCTAAGCTAAAACATACCTTAAGATAAAAAACACCACCTGCTATAGAGCTCAAGTCTCACTGTCTTGAGCCATCTGAGCCTCTTGCCAGGGCTGCCTGGATACTTCTAATCCCCAGAACCCTCTTCTGCCTTTTTGTCCCTTTATCTGCTTTTATTTTGTCTCTTCCTTTGACTTCAACTTCCATGGGTCAGAAACACCGAGGTTCCTGAAGATGTGGGGAAATAGCATTGCCTGACATAACCTTAAGTTAGCCAGGCAGGAGACGAAGGCACAGTAAAATAAAGGCAGGCCCTCCTTCAGATGCAGGATGAGGGGGAGGAAAGGGAAAGGGGCATTCAGCATCATTGGCACATTGTGGATTGAGGACCAAAATCAGCAAGATAATGTTAAGAGAGACTCAGTCTGTTATGCCGCTGGAAGATTATCCGTTGTTTCAGCTTTACTTTGGGGGGCTTTCATGTCCCACATCCTGAGGACCTGGGTAGGACCTCTCACACCATACTGGGAGTAAGAGAGGACTAAGGATCCTGAGAGGCAGACCCTGGGATTTCTGCAGCTGCCCTGGGAGTGAGAACCAGGGCCACAGCCTGCTGAGACCAAGATGAAAGGTAAAGTGGTGCCATCAATGCTTGTAATTCCCTGTCCTACTGCAGCCTCCAGCTCACAGGACAAAGATTGGCCAAAGGGGATCCTGGCAGGAGATCCCAGGCTGGGCCAACCCAGTGGGTGTTTGACCACTGCAGTCTTCTATGGCCCCATGCTCAGAAGGGGGTCCTGTGTTTGGGGTTAATGTTTTGTGGTCACTGTCTTAAAATTATTAATGATTCTACCTTTGAATTTATGTTTTGGAAATGAAGTCCATGGGACAGAGGAGTACGTGCTGGAGTCCTGCCTCTCCTGGATGGGCTCTTGACTGCTAGCTGCCACCCTCCTTCCCCAGCAGGAACCTGGGTGCAGGCACAGGGTGTCTCCAGGTGTAAGTCAGGGTCATGGTTGGGTACATCTGTACCAAGTTGTGGGATAGAACCCAGAGTGCCTATGGGAATCTGCCTGAGGGTTCTGAATACTAAATAGCAAATAAAAAACCACCATGACAGGTTGAATGACTGTGGAAGAAAAATGGCTTTGTTCTTGCTTTTTGAACAAGAGGCCCTGCATTTTCATTTTGCACCAGACCTTACAAAATGTGTAGCTGTCCCTGGTCCCAGGAGAAGGTATAGAGCCAGTCCCCCATTTCACGGTGGTCTTTTGGAGAAGGGCCCTCCTTATTTCCTCAGGCAGTTTCCTTCCTTACATAATGAAACATCTCAGTTTTCCCCATGGAGACAGCATTCCATTTGCATGCACTCTGACCTTCTGCTCAACCCTTCCCTAGGTTTTAAGTAAGGGATGATTGGGTGGGATGAGTGTGAGGAAGCATAAAAATGCTTATAAACAACAGATGCCTAGGTGGTTTATTTAAGTCCAAACCCCAGCCCCTCCTACCACAGGCCACGTGTTAGCCATAGGCATGGTTCCAGCCATCTCTCTCACCAAGAGAGCTGGCCATGTCCCATGGCCTAGGAAACCTTCCAGAGCGGTCTCTAGGTGAGGTGCACCTGGCTCCTGAAGGGAAAGGGGTTGTGACTGATGGAGCAGATGCTACTATCTGATTAGCTGACAGTATGACCCTCCCTTTCCCAAGGCACTGCTCAACTAATCCTACACTGTAGGGCCAAGGGTGTGTGGGTATTTTACACTGGGCCCCTAGGGAGATGGGAAGGCTAATGAGAAATCGGTCAGCAATGAGAGGTGTTGCAGTCACCCAGAAGCCGCTGAGGTGGGGAGAGCAGGAGTTCTTGGCTGGGGGTACGGGCATGTAACCCCTCCCCCTCAGAAGTTGTTATCGATATTCCAGACGTCCCCGCTTAGTGCGTTGGCAGCCCCCTGCAGCGTCCAGGTGAGCAGGGCCAGCTGGCGCCGAAAGCGGCTCTCCTGGAAGCCCAGGCCAGGCGCCAGCCCGGAGGAGGCAGCCCCCAGGGCCCCAGAACTGGGGGAGCGCAGCAGCCGCACGTGGTCCAGCAGGGCACCCAGCGTGTGATCTCCGCGGCCCAGGAAGATGTGGCGGAATGGGGAGTCGGCCGGCGACACGTACTGGGACAGGAAGTAGAACTCCACCTGAACAGAGAGGGGGGTCACATCGAGGCTGGGGTTTTGTCCCCGAGCAAAGGCTGAACAATTCCAAACCAAGATTGGAACCTAGTACTGGCTTAATAAATGCGATTGAGCAGCTTCTTTAAGTCCCACCTCCCTCTGGCCTTCCAATCAGGACTCTGTGATGTCACCAGTAGCTGGGTAGGATGCATCCTCCACCGATGTTTTGGGTTCACTCCCTCTCTTTTTATCCCTTGAACCTCCAAATCTGCATCTAGGTCTTCCCAACCTTCTCTTCTCACCATTCACTTCCCTGCTCAAAGCCCCAGAGAACAGTTTATTGTCTTGCTGTTCCTCACTTTCCCACACCCCTCCTATTGCTTGACCTCTGCCAATGTCCATAGCCCAGAGTCAAAGGTCAAGGGGACAGCCCAGTCCTAATGAAGTGCCTGACTTTGCCCTCATCCTCTGACTGAGATGCTGTTCGTCTTTCCTGAGATGGCCTTGCTGCCACCCCAGTTCTCCTCCCACCCTTCTGCCAGCATCTCTGGTTCCTTCTGCTCCCACCTGTGGGCAGACCCACGGTTTGACCTCTGCCTTCTGCTCTTCTCTTTACCTACAATCCAGTGTATTTTTTTCAATCCTGGCTGCATGGTTGAATCACATAGGTGGCATATGCTGCCATCTGACATCCTCTCCCAGAGCTCAGTCATCACTAAAATTATTCTCTCTTCAGGCCATTGACATTCTGGCCAAATCCTTCCTAAAACTCCACTTTGCTCACATCATCTCCCTGCTCAAAAACCTTCCTAATTTCCTTGATGCCCAGACCCTAAAAAATTCAAAGTTCTTATCTTGGTAATTAGGGTTCCCCAAAGCTGCTCCCTAACTCACTGTTTGGTGCTCCCCTCCCCTCAGAGTCTCTGCAGGGCCTCTGTTCAGGCTCTGCTGGTCCACACACTGCTCACAAGGAGAGTCAGGCCCCCTTCCCGGCCCTCGAACTTTTCCTGGGGCTCCACCCTGAAATGTCCTCTTTGTCTGCATCAACTCAAGTTCTGTCTGTTGTTCAAGACCCATGTCACACTCTGAAGCAGGGGTCAGCAAACTTTTTTCTGCAAAAAGCAAGACAGTAAATATTTTAGGCTTCTCAGGCCATAGTGTTTCTGTTGCAACTACTCAACTTTGCTGCTGTAGCACAAAAGCAGCTGTAGACAATATGAAAACCAACGAGCATGGCTGTGTTGCAATAAAACTTCATTTACAAAAACAGAAGGCAGGCCAAATTTGGCCTGCTGGATGGAGTTTACCAACCCCTGATCTAGAGCCACGAAGTTCCCTAGGTCTGGCCTAGCCCTGTGTCGTAGGATCTGAAATCCTGAGTCTTTTCCTCTCCAGCCTGAGTCTGATTCCCTTGATCCTTTACA